TGCGCAACCGGCGGTACGTGCAGCGCAAGGGGCCCCTGGTCATCTACGGCAACGACAGCGGCATCAGGTGAGGGCCCCGGCCCCTGACCCTGCGCCGCGTGGGCGGGCTGCAGCGGCAGCTGCCACACCGCGGCTTCGCCGCGCCATCTCATGCCCTCGCACCCCTCTCCCCATTCACACCCGCCCTCCCTTCTCCCCGCCCGCAGCCGCGCCTTCCGCAACCTGCCCGGCGTGGAGGTGTGCAGCGTGGAGCGGCTCAACCTGCTGCAGCTGGCGCCCGGCGGCCACCTGGGCCGCTTCTGCATCTGGACTAAGTCGGCTGTGGAGAAGCTGGACGCCATCTTTGGTGGGCGCCGCTGCCTGCTGGTGGTGGTGGTGGTGGTGGTTACGCTGGTTGCGCGGACCCGCGGGAGGAGCGGCTGGTGCCTGCTTCTGGCAGCTGCCGCTGGCTGCGCGGGCGGCTGCGCGGAGGCCGCCCTGCACTTTCCTCCTGCCACGGCTCGCCCTCCCTGCCCTTCACCCACCCACCGGCCGCCGCACGCACGCAGCTCACCTCCCGCCACCACCACCCCGCCCCCTCAATCCCTCCCCCGCAGGCACCACCGAGTCTGCCAGCGCGCAGAAGGCGGGGTACAAGCTGCCGCGCCACATCATGGCCAACGGCGACCTGGCGCGCCTCATCAACAGCGACGAGATCCAGTCGGTGGTGGGGCCGTTGAAGACCAACAAGGTGCGGCGCGGACGCGTGTATGTGCGTGCATGTGTGTGTGTGTGTGTGTATGTGCGCGCGAGAGAGAGTATTGTGTGTGTGTGTGTGTGTGTGTGGACTGGGCTGGGCAGGGCATGCCGGCTGGGAGCTCTTCTTGCCGCGCCCTTCACGTGCCCGCTCCCCACCGCTCCCCGCGCCGCCCCGCCCCGCCCGACCGCAGGTGCGCAAGCCGCTGAAGAAGAACCCGCTGCGCAACCTGGGCGCGCTGCTCAAGCTCAACCCGTACGCCAAGAATGCGCGGCGCGGCGAGCTGCTGGCGGCCGCCAAGCGCGCGGCGGCCAAGGAGGAGAAGCTGGCGGCGGCGCGGACGGCCAAGGCGGCGGGCCGCCCGGCGGTCAAGAAGGTCTCCAAGGCTTTCTACTCCACCATGATCACCGACTCGGGTGGGTGTCGGCAGGGCGTGCTGGCAGGGCTGGGAGGGGCTGGGAGGGGAAAAAGAAAGCGTGGGGCTGGGGTGTGCAACGCTGGGGACGCTGGGAGGCGAGAAAGAAAGCGTGGGGCGGGCCGGGGCCGGGGTTGCGGGCGGGCTGGCTGGCTGGCTGGCTGGCTGCTTGGGGAGTTCTGTGCTGGAGCCGGGGAGGGCGCTGTGTGCTGGCAGCACGCAGGCCTGCCCGCACGCCGGTGGCCTGACCCTGCCTCCCTGCCCCGCCTGCCTCTCCTCGCCCCCTGCCTTGCAGACTATGTGGGCCAGGACTACGAGGTGTTCTCGCAGTGGCTGGGCCAGGGCCAGTGAGCCGGCGGCGGCACGGCAGGCGCCGCGGCACGGACGCCCCGGACGCGTAGCGCGCGATCCTGGCGAGCGGCGCGGGCCCAGCGGAGGGCCCCGCCCACGCAGCGCACAGCACCCCAAAGTGTAACACGCACTCTCTCGCAAGCGGGCGCGTGGGCGAGCGGGCTGGTTGAGGAGGCGGGTGGGAGGCCGTGTGGGTGCCCCCTGCCAGCGGGGCGGGCGGCGGCGGCGTCGGTGGCAGGACCTGCCGCCGGCACTGACCCGCATGTGGCTCTACCGCCCCTATCAGCTCTACAATCACATGGTACAACTGAAGGCCCTGCAGAGCAGAGCACACCTTTCCCGATCAATGTCGCCCGGGATCCCTCTTCCCCTGTTTCGAGCACTTTGCACATTGTGCGAAGCGGGAATTGGGTGGCGGGAGGCCGTTTCCGCGATCCCAGTCATCCGACCCAGGAAATCTGAGGCGGATGAGGTGGCTGAAAGCCATCGATTCGGGTCGTCCTCGCCCCGCTCCGTTGCAGCTCTAGCTCTCCCCAGTCAGGCACGCCATCATGCAGACCGTGACCAGCAGCAAGTGCGTCGGGCGGGGCAGCCGGGAGGGCGGGGCGCCTTGATGGGGCCGGTGGACGCCCGCAGCGCGCTACAAAGCAGCTGGCATGCTGCACACCAATTCAGATGCCGGCCGGTGGGCCGCAGCGCCCTGTCAGGCGCCCACGATCCCCAGCCCAGGCATTCCTCACCTCACCCGCTGCCGTGTCTGTTCTGTGCGTGCAGGGCCTTCGTGGCTGGCCAGGCCGTGCGTGCCGGTGAGTTTGTGGATTGCTGGGGAGGCCCTCAAACGGCTGCACGTGCTGCCGCCTCGACGTGCTCACCGGCCGTCGCTGGGAACGGCACAGCGGCCTGGCCTGCCTGCGAACTGAATTGAGTTGCTGACCCTTCCCTCACTCCCTCCTCCCTGTGTGCAGCCGCCCCCGCCCCCCGCGCCTCCAGGTGAATGGCGACCCTCGGAGCCCGGGCTTGGCGAGGGACGGCGCCTGGCGCCGCGGCGGGAAGCGCAGCGGCGCAGCAGCGCGCCGGCTTGGCCCCGCAGGCAGCTGGGCCAGCAACGAGGGCACAGCGCAGTCCGGCGCAGCCAGCCAGCCCCTGCTCGCCTCACCCTCCCCGCCGCTCGCCGCGCCCCCCATCCCCGCAGGGCCGCGGTCGTGGTGCGCGCGTCTGGCGAGGAGAGCCGCCGCGCGGTGCTGGGCGGCATGCTTGCGGGCGTGGCGGCCCTGGCGGCCTCCCCGGCCCAGGCCCTGGACCTCATTGACGACCGCAAGGCCCGCTCCGCCGGCTTTGACATCATCTACGAGGCCCGCGACCTGGACCTGCCCCAGGCCACCCGCGACGGCATGAGCCAGGTGCGCCCGCCCGCCTGCTGCTGCGCCCTGCGTGCTTGAAAGCACAAGGGCCGGCCAGCCGCATGCTGGCAAGGCCAGCCAGCCCCGCGCGGCGCTCCTGCCGGGCGGGCATGCCGGGGCCGCAGAGCAGGCGGCGGGGTGCCACCCGCCCCGGAGCAGCGTATGCGGATCAGCCAGCTTGGCGGCGCGGCCCTGCGGGGCAGCACGCGCAAGGCAGCCGCACCCATGGCCGAGTCCCCGCCCCGGGGAACTCAGCCCAGCACCCCGCGCACACACACCCTCCCCCTCGCCCGCCATCCCCCTCGCCCGCCTTCCGTCCCCACCCCCATCTCCTGTGCTGCCTGCCTGCCTGCCCGCAGATCCGCGCTGACGTGGCCGCCGCCAAGGCGCGCATCGCGGAGAGCGAGAAGCGCATCGACTCGGAGCTGGAGGGCTACATCTCCAAGGCCTACTGGTGAGTGCCTTTCGCAAGCCTTTCACAAGCCGCTGCGGCGGCGGCGGCGGCTGCTGCTGCTGCTGCTGCTGGGGGGGGCTGCGAGGGCTGCCGCGGCGCATGCCTCCCGTTGATGGCCTGGCCTGGCGTGCCGTGGGGCCATGCAGCAGTGCCGCGTGTGGTGTGGTGCGCCGTCGGCGTGCGGCCTGGCGTCCTGACCGCTCCCCCGCCCGCTGCCGCGCGTGCAGGACCCAGGGCCGCAACGAGCTGCGCCGCCAGATCGGCACCCTGCGCTTTGACATCAACGCGCTGGCCGACGGCCTGCCCAAGGCCGCCAAGAAGGAGGCCCTGGCCGCGCGCGCCGACTTCCTGGCGGCTGTCGAGAAGCTGGACTATGCCCTGGTCAAGAAGAACGGCTCTGATGCCGCCAAGGCGCTGGCCGAGACCAAGGCCACCCTGGATGCCGTCATCGCCAAGCTGGCGTGATGCTGAGCTGGCAAAGCTCGTGTGCCGCCCGACGCGGCAGCCGGCCGGCCAGGCCAGGCCAGGCTGCCGGGCGGCGGCAGCCTTGTTGGGGTCCGCGGCGCGTGCGTGTGTGCCGTGCACGCCGCCGCCCCGCCCCCCGCACAGCACAGCACCCCGAATTTTGACTACCCTTACACCTTGGTGGGTTTGTCCACTGGCCGGGGCCGCGCGAGAGGCCCGCGCGCCCCAGCCCGCAGCAGCTGCAGCCCTCTCCCTGTAGGTTTCCCTCCCTCCAGCTTTGCTTTGGCCCGGCCCCCGGTGGAGGGCCGGGCGTGTGCTACACTAGTCCGTCTTTGTACCATGCATGGCCGCCGCGCCGTGTAACGAGAAGAAAATTGGCAACACCGCTGATGGCGAGGGTGCCGTATGGGGAGAGGCGAGGGTGGTGGAGAAGATGCCGGTTTGTGGGGTGCCTGCTCTGTCTCCGCATTCCAGCCAACAGGTGTGCATGTGTCTGTCTGGGGGCGTGTGATAGAGGCAATGGTGGCCGAGGATAGGCTGCAGGACGGCCGGGCGGGAGCGGGAGAGGAGGGTGTCCCGCCCGCCGTCCCGCGGGTGGCCAGCTGAGCGCGCGGGGCGTGGTTGATCGCCATTGCACGCTCAGCACACCGCTGCTGGGATCGATCCGAGCGGGTCTGGGGCGCACCAGGCGAGCGGCTTGCAACAACGCCTTGGCAGGCTGTATGAGCAAGCCCCAAGACCGTGTCACCTCGGCTTTCAGCGCTGGCTTGCGATCCTGCCCCAGAGAGGCAAGCGTGGCTTCCATCACCTCAGTCAGCAGCAACCGGCGATCGGAAGGCGTGTGAGTGGCAGACGGCTCACCCTCGCCTCCCCGGCCCTCTGCAGGTCCAACAGTACGGGCTGTGCCTGAAGGCCACGTTGCCCGAGGTGAACGGGTGGCCAGGGCAGGCCGGCGGTCGGGCCGCTGCGGCCGTGGCCGCCACCTGCCCGACGGTTGTGGGGTGCTGTGTCTGAAACTGATTGATTCGTCTGTGACACTGGCGGCCTACGCAGGTGGAGAAGGGCCTGTGCGAGCGTGAGTTCCAGCAGCTGCGTGCGTGCTGGCTCAAGGCATTCCGCGCCGCTCTGCGCAGCAAGTGACGGCACCCGCTCCTCGGCGGTAGGTACGTATATAGCTCCAGCATTCGAGCAGTAGCTGTGGGCCAGGTAGCCGCGCAGCTGACCCACCCCTCAGCGAAGAGGTAGGACCCGCATGGCAGCCATGGCGGCGGCCGGCGGCGGCGACCTGCGGGCGGGCCTGTTTTCTGGGGACCCGCTGAAGCAGACGGCTGCGCTGATGAGCGGCTTTGCGGCGCTGTCGGCGGGGCGCGACGTGGCGCCGCTGGTCAGCGCTGCGCTGCAGCTGCTGGGCAACCCCAGCACCGCGGTGGAGCCCAAGCGGGTGGCCTACGATTTTGCCATGGCGGCGCAGCTGGCGGACGCGGGTGGGTGCGCTGGTTGGTGGCAGGCGGAGAGGAGCGGTTAGTTGGAAGGGACTGGAGCTGGAGCCTGGGTGCAGCTGGGCACAGGAGCTGGACTGCATTCGAGTGTCGGGGGAGCCACCTCCGATAGCTAGGATCATCTGCCGAGCGCCGATTCACCGCCGACGCCCAGCCGACTCCCAGCTGCCCCTCCCCTTCCCTTCCTGCGCTTGCAGACCTGGCGCGGCTGGCGGTGGTGGTGCAGGCGGACATGCAGAAGGGCGTGCCGCACGAGGTCCGCGTCAAGGCGCTGCAGGCGCTGCCGCTGCTGCCAGGCCACCGGCTGGAGGCGCTGCTGACTACGGGCGGCGTGCTGGAGCGGCTGGTGAGGGCTGCGCTGAGCTGGCGCCGAGCTGGCACTATGCCCAGCTGGCTGCGCTGTGCTGAGCTGGCATCGCTCTCATTTGCTGTGCTGCGCTGAGCTGCGCCGGTGCTGGCCCGCGCTGTGTCGAGCTGGGCTGCCGCTGCCCCCGCCTCAGCCCCGCCTGCGCCGTGCCTGCCCCGCTCGCAGTTCCTCAACCTGCGCAGCTCCAGCGATGCGGTGCGGGCCGCCAGCATCGAGGCGGCGGCCGAGGTGACGGCGCACGAGCGCACGCTGCAGGCGGCGGCGGAGAGCCCCGCCCTGCTCAGCGCCCTCATCGACCTGTGGGAGTCCATCACAGATGCGCTGACGGGTGCGGCCGGGCTGTGCGGCAGCAGGCAGGCGGTTGGGCTGTGGCAGCAGGCAGCCAGCCGGGCCGCGGGCTGTGGCGCAGCGGGCACTCGAGCTGCTGCTGTGCTGCTGCGCTGCTGCGGGCCTGTTGGGCGCGGGCCTGCCTGTCCCGCAAGAGCATGCCGCACGGCTGGCCTGCAGCTGCCACCTGCTGTTGCACCCCTCAAGCCGCCGCTTTTGCTGCCATCCCTGCTGACTGCTGCTCCGGCAGATGAGACGGACCTGGTCTGCGCCAGCGCCTGCGCCGCACTGGCGCAGCTGCTGCAGGCCGAGGACGGCGGCGCGGCCCCGCTGCCCGCCGGCCCCGCCGCCGTGCTCTCCCCCCTCACCGACTGTGTGCACAAGCGGCTGGGCGGGCTGCTGGGCGTGGCGCTGGCGCGCTTCAGGTGCGGCCTGCCTGCCGCGCTCTGCCTGGCTGGCGTCTGCTGGGCGGGCTGCTGCTGCCGCCAGCGGGTCGTGCAATTTTCAGCTGCACATGGGATCCTCCCTCCTGCATGCCCGCACTTTGACCCCCCCCGGGTCTAGTCTGGCGGCTGGTCTGGCTGTCGCCGCCCTGCCCTGCCCCGCCCCGCCCTGCCCCTAAACCAGCCTCCGCGTGTCGCCGCCGCAGGGCGCTGGGCACGGTGCTGGTGGTGGCGGTGCCGCCGCTGCTGGTGGCTTACCTGCGCGGCCTCAGCCCGCTGCCAGAGGAGCGGCGCCTGGACGCCCTGCCCGGAGACGTCGGCAGCGGTGCGCCCCGGCCTCTGAGACTCCCTACTCGCTGCACACGCCTGCTGACTTTCTGCATGCTGTGGCTCCGCTCCGACTTTGGCTTCAACCGCCGCACCCCTCGCCACCTGCCCAGCGCCGCCCCGGCCTCCCACCTTTTCGACGCCTCCCTGCCTTCCCGGCAGCGCCTCCCCGGCTCCTCAACCCTCCTGCCCTGACCCTCCCTGCAGTGGGGCGGTGCCATGCGTATGAGGAGTGCTCTGTGCTTCTGGTGGAGCTGCTGCACAGCCCCAACGCCGCGGTGCTGCTGGCGGCGGCAGAGGCGCTGCTGCAGCTGGCCAAGGTGGGTGGCTGGGGGGATGCTGATCCGCAGGCGTGGTGGTGGTTGTGTGGATGCGTGTGGATGGCAGTGCTGTTTGGTGGGGTGCCTGTGTGTGATGGTGGCCGGGTAGCATGTGGCTTCAGCCAGATGCACAACTCCTGTGTGTGTGTTGACGGGAGAAGTGCCCCCTGGCCTCCCCAGCTGGGACTGCCTGCTGTTTTGCTGAGCCGGCCGCCCCGCCCTGCTGCCATCACCCGCAGATGGACGGCGCCTCGGCGGTAGTGCTGTCGGTGCTCCCCAAGGCGGCCGCGGCCATCATCGGCGCCGCCACCAACGCCGAGGGGCAGCTGTCGGCGGCGCAGCCGCAGGTCCTGATGCTGCTGCTGGCCCACCTGCCCGTCATGCCCGCCGTGCAGCAGCCGCTGCTGTTCCAGCGCCTGCTGCCGCTGGTGGCGGCGGTGCCATCGGCCGCGGAGCGGTGCCGCGGGCTGGCGCGGCTGTGGGCCGCTGTACTGCAGTACGATTGGTCCAGCTCAGCGGCCGACAAGGCGGCACGCCAGCAGCGCGCCGCCGCCGCCGCCGCCACGCCCGCCGCGCCCGCCCCGCAGCTGCAGCAGCTGCTGCTGGAGCCAGGGATCAAGGAGGCCGTGAGCGGGCAGGCGGGCAGCGGCGACGTGGGCGCGGCGCTGTCGGCGGCGGCCGCCGCCGCCGCGCCGCCGCCCGTGTTCCCTGCCTTTCGAGAGGAGCTGGTGGGCAGCTTGCTGTACGGCCTGCTGAGCCACCCGCGCGGCAGCGCCGCGGTGGGCGCCGGCGCCGGCGCCGCGGGGGCCAGCAGCCTGCTGGCGGAGGCGAGCGAGATGCAGGCGCTGGTGGAAAGCGTGGAGTGGCTGGCCAGCGCCAAGACGGCCCTGCAGGTGCGCCGGCTGGCAGGGCCGGCTGGATGCCTGGCTGGCTGGCTGGTGGGCTAGCTGGCTCTCCGGGTGGGAGGGTTGGTGGCGCCCCGGTGTGCAGCAGGCACAGCCCTCTGCCTGGGGTTGGCTTCCTGCACCGCTGCCGGCGGGACCCTTTGCCTGTGCCCTCGCCACACCCGTCCCTCTCCCACCCCACCCCTCGCCCCCTGTGTGTGCCTCGCAGGGCACCAAGGCGTGCCTGGGCTGGGACCGAGTGACGGCGGTGCTCACCACGGGCACCACGGCGGTGGTGGACCTCTGGCTGCAGCTCCTGCTGCGCACCATCCAGGCGGCTGGGGCCGTGAAGGCGCACCTGGCGGGGCGGCAGGCGGAGGCGGCGGCGGCGGCGCAGGTGGGCTGGCGGCGGTGGGGCAGGTTTTGGAGCAGCGGGAGGCTGGCTGGCTGCTTGGAATAGACCTTGTGCATCCTGCCCAGGGGAGCCTGCCCAGCTTCTCAGGAGCCTGCGCTGCCTGACGCTCGGCCCAACCCCGCCCCTGGCCCTCCCTCTGCCCCTTTCGCCGCCGCCTGTTTCCCCGCAGGCCGCCGAGGGGTCTGGACGCCAGGCGGTGGCGTCCCTGTCTCAGTCGGTCTACCGCCGGGTGGGCGCCATTGACATGGACATGCAGGTGTGTGTGTGTGTGTGGTGCCGGGCCGCGTGGCTGTGGGCTGGGGCCGCGTGGCTGTGGGTAGGGGCCGCGGGCTGGAGAGGGGCCTGGTGTGTGGGTGGGGTTGTGGGCTGGCGTGTTGGGGTTGGGGCGGAGGCTGTGGGCTGGACGCTGACGCTCTTGGCTGCGGGTTGGCGGCAAGCCCACACACACGCACACGCGCGCGCCGCCAGCACCAGACGCAGGCAAGCTCACAGGCCCGCGTGCCGCCCCCCGCTGCCCCCGCCCCCCGCCCCCGCGCAGGGCATGCTGCTGCAGATCGCGTCCAACTGGCGCGCGCTACACCCGGTGGTGCGCCCCCGCGCCGTTTGGGTCTGCTGCTGCCACCTGCAGCTCAAGTCAGTTCTGGATGGTGCCTGGAACAGCTGCGTGGATGCCAGTGAGTGCGGCGCTTCTGCAGCGGCTGGGAGTTTGTGGGAGGGAGCTGGGGCTGCGGCGGCTCGGGGGGGCTGCATGGGCGTTTGTGGCAGCAGGCTGGGGCTGGGCTGGATGGGGAGGGATGCGGGCGGTGGCCGCTGGGCGGCTTTAGGATGCGCTGCAGCTGTTGCTGGGCCTTGATGCCGCACCCCCGGGCTGGTGTGGACCCGGGCGATGGGGCTGCCCTGGCGCATGCGCCCCGTCACGCTGCCCTTTCTGCTGCCCTCCTCGTGCATTGCCCCTTGTCCTCCATGCTCCGCTGCCCCGTCATTCTGCGCCCTCCCCATTATGCTGCCCTGCCCCCCATGCTGCCCTCAATGCTGCCCCCCATGCCGCCCCCTCCCCCCCCTCCCTGCGCAGTCCGCGGCCTGCTCCTCGACTCCCGCAAGTCCCAGGTGGGCAGCCACGTGGCGGCGGTGGCCGAGGGCCTGCTGGCGGCGCCGCCCAGCGGCGGGCCCGACGACACGGCGCGGCACGCGGCCGGCCTGGCGGCGGCGGCGGGGCAGCAGGCACAGGTGGCCATGCTGTGCCTGGAGCGACTCATCTCTCTGGGTGAGCCTGCCTGCCGCCGGCCCGCCCTGGCCTGCCGGCTGGCTGGGTGGCTGGGTGGCTGGGCGCCGCTAGCATGGGCCTACCTGGCGGCCTGCTGTGCGATGGGTGCCTGTCGGTGTCAGGCCGCCCCAGCACCGCTGGCCGCGCCAAGCTGGCAATTGATAGCTGCAGCATCACTCATCACTCCCGGCCGGCAGCTCACCTGGCCATGCTTGCGTCGTGCCCCGGCGCCCGTGCCTTGGCTGTGTTTGTGAGCGGCCATGCCTTGGTCGTGTTTGTGGCGCAGTGGCCTACAACAACCGTGACCCCCTGGCGGGCCAGCTGGCCCCCATCGGCTCCCTGCTGGAGAAGCTGTGCAAGCTGGAGCTGGAGAATGAGTGTGGTCCGGGTGAGGCCTGGGCGCTTTGTTGCTTTTTTGTTGCGTTTTGTGGTTGCAGTCTGTATGCCCGCAAAGGAGCCTGCGTCACAGGCCCCGGTGGCATGCGCGGCGCGGTGGCGCTGCCTGTGGCGCTGCGGCGCTGCCGTGGCGGCAGGGCCGGCTTGGGAACCTGTGGGCAGCAGGGCACCCTGCTCCACACCCTCTGCGTTGCTTCCTAGTGCCGCCGGCATTGAAACATGCGCTTGCACATTGCACACACACTGCACATTGCACACATGTGTTTGCTCGCATTGCCCCCTGGCTGCAGCCCTCAAGGAGCGCATTGGGCGCCTGCTGGCCGCGGTGCTGCCCGTTGCCACCAGTGGCAAGGAGAAGGGCGGCGGGGCGGGGTACACCCGCAGCACCACCATCAGCATCCGCAGCCGGCCCGCGGAGGAGCAGGCAGAGGAAAACGGCAAGAGGGACGGTGCGTGGCGGCACCGGCTCCGGCTGCCGCTGTCTTCTTGTGGCTGCTGCGTGGGCCGTGGCGGGCTGCATTGCAAGGTGGCCGCAGGCCACAGGACTTCGCTGCCCCACAGCGACCTGCTTCGCTTTGCACGCATGCCAACCTGGACTCACCTGCCCCAACCCAGCTTCCAACACACCGAACGCATGCCGCCCCCTGCCACCGCTCTGCAGCTGCCCCCATCGTGGTGGAGCTCCACCCCGATCCCGCAGCCCCCGCCGCCGCCGCCTACCCCAACACCCTGCCCGCGGCGGCGGCGCTGTTTGGCACCAAGGAGGCGGTGCGGTACGGCCACCTACTGGAGCAGCTGCAGGTCGGCTTCCGCTCTGTACCGCCTGCCGTGTACCGCCTGCCGTGTGCCGCCTGCCGTGTGCCGCCTGCCATGTGCCCCTCATGGCGGGCGTTAAGCCATGCTAGCCTGCCTATGCACGGCGACCTGCCTGGGGTCCAGCCGCTTGTGCCAACCAGCTGCCTCGACAGTCCCGGGCCTCTGTGCTCACCCCTCTCTCGTGCAGAGCGCCGCCTGGCAGGACGACGAGGCGGCGGCCGCCGGCGGCGACGGCGCGGCCGCCGCCGCCGGCCTGCCCTCGCTCCTGCAGCTGACTGCCATCCTGGCTGGGGCCGGCGGCGGGGCTGCGGCGGCAGCCGCTGCGGGGGTGGAGGTGACGGGTCCCTCCACGCCGCTGGCCCTCAGCCTCAGCCACAGCATGGACGCCGCCAACCGCTCCATCTCGCTGCGCTGCGCGGTGCACAACCGCACGATGGAGGCGATTCGGGGCGTGGAGGTGGGTGGGTGGGTAGGTGGGGGTGGGGCGCAGGCTGGGAGCGGGGAGGAGCCCTGGGAGTCCTTGTTGGCTGGGGCCTGGAGGCTGGCAGGCTGGCGGCGTGTAGGCTGGAGGCTTGTAGGCTGGATGAGAAGGCTGGGGGAGCTGCAGAGAGGCGAAGGCAGTGTAGAGGAGCCCGCTGGCAGTCCTTGCTGGTCGCGCCTGCTTGCCTGCTTCGATGCCTGCCCGCCCCGCCCCTCGCCCCATGCCACCTCCCACCTGGCTGCCGCCTCTTGCCTCTTGTGGACATATTGCCGCCGCCTCTGCCCCCACGCCTCACCCGCAGGTGGAGCTGATGCTGGGTGGCCCCGTGGTGCCTGGCCACCGCCGTCCGCTGTCCTTCCAGCTGCAGGCGCTGCCGCCCGCGGGCAGCACCAGCTGGGAGACGGAGCTGCGCGTCAGCGGCTTCGGCTGGCCCTCGGTGCAGCCGGCCATCTTCCTGCCCATCAAGGTCCCCGCTCGCCTCCCCGACTCCCTCACATGCCGGCCCGCCGGCCTGACAGCCTGCGCGCCTGCCTTTCGCCCTGCGCGCCCACCTGCCCTGCCTCCCCCTTGCCACCCACTTGAGTGCTCGGCAGCGCCGGCTGGCTGCGCTCAAGCCATCCTGTCACTCTCCCCTCCCCGCCTGCCGCTCCACCCCTGCTGCCGCCCGGCCTGCAGCTGCCCGGCGGCGAGGAGGCGGGCATGCGGTGCCGCCCCTACAACGTGTCCCCGCTGCAGCTGCTGGCGCCACCCACCCACGCCATCTCCCCAGCAGAGTTCTACCAGCTGTGGCAGGCGCTGCCGTACCGTGCGCAGGCACGCGGCCGGGCTGCGGCGGCCGGCCAGCCGCCCGCACTTGGCTGGAGCGCTCGGGAAGGGCATTTCCTTGCCTGCCCTGCGCATGCCCCTTTCCACACACACACACACACACACACACACATGCACACACGTACATCGTCACACGCACACTGATGTGCACACGCCACTGCTTCCCGTGCAGCTGGCGGCGGCGGCCAGCGAGCCGGGGCCGGCGGGGCTGCAGCATGTGATGGCCTCCATGCAGGGCACCTCCATGCTGTGCGTGCTGCGCGCCACAGGTGAGCCCTAGCGAGGAACTGCTGCTGCCGGCGGTGGGGCTGCTGGAAGGGCCTGGCAGGGACGGGCGGCGTGGCTTGCCATGCCTGCCGCCTTGCGCCGTGCACCAGGCCTGTGCAATTGCGCCAGCCACCCTGCGCATTGCCGCCACCATATCTCAGACTCGCCCCGAAGCGCCTCACCTCCTGCGCCTCCCCACTGCAGCCCCCGTGCATGGCTCCGCCCACGCCGCCTTCTACGGCTCCAGCTGGGACGGCCAGCGCATCGCGTGTGTGGTGACGGGTGTGCTGGACTCCGCCGCCGGAGCCTCGGCCACCGCGACCGGCGGCGGCGGCGGCGCCGCGGGCGGCAGCGGCGCAGCGGCGGCACAGCCGCTGGGCCTGCAGCCCGCCCGCCTCCACTTCCACTTCCGTTCCGAGTCGGCGCAGGTCATCTCTCATGTGCAGGTGAGGGATGTGGGGGGGTGGGGGCTGGTGTATCAGCGTGCTGCGCCCATCGCTACCCTGCGCGCTTGGTGTTCTGTGCCGGTGCTGTGGTGCCTTAACCTGGCTTTCAAACCTCCATCTGCCTCACCCCCGCCCCAGGGCCACGAGATCGAGCTGCTGGATCAGCTGACCGGCGGCAGGGTGGTGCCCACCGCAGCGGGCGAGGAGGGTAGCGACGCCGCTGGCGCCACCGCCGCCGCTCCTGCCAGCCAGGCGTCGGAGGCGGAGGCCTACCGCCCCTCCACCTTCTCCTTCCTGCGCTCCGTCACGCTGCGCAGCGAGGAGGAGGAGCACAGGGATGCGGAGGGCGACGAGGGGGGGGTCGACCCGGCGGCGGCCGAGGCAGCGCGGCGGGCGTTTGAGGGCGCGGTGCTGGCGCAGTGGCAGCGCCTGCGCGCGCTGCGCGTGGGCTGAGGCTGGCTGGAGCCGAGAGGCGCTGTGGTTCTGTCAGACTGTAAATTCATGCGGCATGGTGACACAGGAAGAGGCAAGCGGAATGCAGCATGGGCGGCGGGAAGCTGGAGGAAAGCGGAGGAAACCCTGATCGGCTGAAGTGATTTGTTGAGACAGGGAAGTCGTAGGCGTCCTCCGCGAGTCCTCGTGGGCGCCCCGAATGGCCCCGGCTTTGTCCTCTGGCAGCGCTCGGGAGGGCTCCCGGGATGGCGGTGCAGGGCCCTCTGTAGCCCAACCGGCCAAGACAGCATAGGCGGTGAAGCAGGCGATAAAAAAGAAGTTCGTAACACGGAAGGTGGGAGCCCTAGGACCTCTGCACTGCCGCCCCTGGCCCTTCCGCTAGAGATGAAAGAGAGATGGCATCATTGTTGCCTGCCTTTTGCAGGAGACGCTGCACCAGGCCGTGCAGAGGCCTGGACGGCATGCCTGCCTGCAATTACTGTATGCCTGCTTGGCCAAGGGAGCAGATGTCAACAGCCGGGACAAGAACGGGTGCACCGCCCTGCACCTGGCGTCCTGGAAGAACCCAGACCCGTCAGCCGTGGGCGGCGTGATTGCGGCGCTGGTAGCAGAGGGCGCCGATGTGCGCGCCAAAAATGAGGACGGCGACGAGCCGCTGCACTGGGCAGCTACCAACAACAATGCTGAGGCATCAGTAGCGGCAGTGCAGGAGCTTTTGGCAGCAGGCGCTGATGTGCGAGCCAAAAATGAGGACGGCGACGAGCCGCTGCACTGGGCAGCTACCAACAACAATGCTGAGGCATCGGTAGCGGCAGTGCAGGCGCTGGTGGCAGCAGGCGCTGATGTGCAAGCCAAGGACAACAACGGCGCTGAGCCGCTGCACTGGGCCGCATACAGCATTGCCGCCGCCGCAGCAGCGGCAAGCCAAGCGCTTTTGGCGGCAGGCGCTGATATGCGGGCCAAAAATGAGGACGGCACTGAGCCGCTGCACTGGGCAGCTGATAACAGCAATGCTGAGGCATCAGTAGCGATAGTGCAGGCACTTGTGGCAGCAGGCGCTGATGTGCGGGCCAAAGGTGAATACGGCGCTGAGCCGCTGCACTGGGCAGCTACCAACAACAATGCTGAGGCATCAGTAGCGGCAGTGCAGGCGCTGGTGGCAGCTGGCGCTGATGTGCGAGCCATGAATGAGGACGGCGCTGAGCCGCTGCACTGGGCCGCAGACAACAGCATTGCCGCCGCAGCAGCAGCGGCAAGCCAAGCGCTTTTGGCGGCAGGCGCAGATGTGCGCGCCCGAGATGACGCTGATGAAGAGCCGCTGCACTGGGCAGCGGCCCAGAATGAGAGCCCGGTGGCAGCCGTAGCGGCGGCGCGGGATCTGCTGGAGGCGGGGGCCTGCACTACTGCACTTCAGTGGCAGCCCGCCCTGGCTGCTGGCGCTGGCGCGGGAGGATGCAGCAGACGGTGTCGAGCTGCTGCAGCTGCTAGTATCGGGACGAGGCGCACCCCCAGCAGCAGGGAATGCAGCAGGCGGCCCTTGCGGCAGCGGCAGCACTGCGAGACTGTTCAATGACTTGCACGAGGCCATCCTGCAGCAGCTGCAGCAGAAGCAGCCCGGGCAATCTACGGCCCAGCTGGAAGCCAGTGCCAGCGAGTGCGTGGTGTGCCGCAACGCATGCCGCCAGCCCAGCGCCAAGACCGTCACCATCTACCACCCCTGAGCCTGGCGCCATGGGTTGCTGTGGCTGCTGTGGGCTGAGCCCTCCCTTTTCATGTGTCCCTTCTCTGCTCTTTCCCAGCTGCCACACACTTGCTATGAATCGACATAACCATCAGCTGCACGACTGTTACCTTGTTGGGAGGTGCCTGCCGCCGTCCCCTGCTCCGCTGAGCCTGGGTCCACACCGCGCCCTGCTGTGAGCACGGGCCGTCGTGCAAGGGATTTTGAGGTATGGAGTGAGAATTCTGCATCTGGGGAGTGAACGACGCTGGCAGGAGGGGATGGCAGCACCGGCAGGCTGAGCAGAGAGGAAGAAGAAGAAAAGGAGGAGAGTACAGGCGCAAACAGCGCGGTGGCCGCCTGGGGCAGGAGGCCCGCCCCTGCGCCTTCAGGCGCAGGTGGCTGCGGGAAGCAGGGCATGAGAATCGTGCCTCCATCATTCGTTGGGGCTGGCAGGGTTTGCTAGCAGGGACATGTAAAGGTGACTGCTGCGGGGCTGGGTTGCTGCTGCTTGCCGCCGCTGAGGTGGTGGCGCCAGGTCAGCACCTCACAGCGCACGCAGCGCGCCCAGCTTTTTGAAGATGCCCGTGGCGGAGGCCAGCAGCTTCTCGTGGCCGCCCAGTGAGTGGTACAGGTTCATGTCCACCTGCGGTACGGGAGCGGTACCAGGCGGTGCCATTCAGGGAGTGGTACACGCAGCAGGCACTAGTCCATGGCTGACGGCAGCAGTGCAGGCACATGTCTCAATCACCCGCAGGCCACTGCCATAACGCATGTGTCCCTTCCAGCCCACACCCAGCACGCTCACGCCCACCTGCACGGTGGCCTTGCTGCCGGGGCTCTCGCTCTCCTTGATGCGCACAATCTGGCTGCGCAGGATAAGGGGCTCGTCGGGCGGGGTGGCCTCCTTGAAGGTGGCCTGCGGCGCGAGGAGGGGCCAGGGCAGGTGGCGAGTAGGGCGTCAGGCAGGCAGGTTCAGGACGGCAGGCACAGCAGCAGCAAGCAGGGCGGCCAGGACCACCCTGCCTCCTAGATCCATGCCCTCAGGCTCTCCCACAAACCCCGCAGCCAACCCCGCAGCCAACCGCCGCACAGCCCCAGCAGCCCCAGCAGCCGCCCAGCCGCACAGGCGCAGCCGCCCACAGGGTACTCCCCCTTCCGCAGGCTCACCAGCATCTCATACGTCAGTGTGAGCGGTGGCTTGGGCAGCGCGGCCTTGTCCATCAGCGCGATGGCGGCGGTCCAGTTGCCGTGGCAGTCAAACAGCGCGCTCACCACGCCGCCGTTGATGATGCCTGCGCAGCCAGGGGTGCAGGGGCAGGTGGCCGAGCGGGCGGGTGGGTGGGAGAAGCAAGCGGGCCAGCAGCGGTACCAGCTCCTCTGCCCACCCCAACATTCTGCAACACCTCCAGCATCAGTCCAGGCCTCTCCTATCTTCCTCCTGTGGCCCTCACTCCCAAACAACAGCTGGTACTGCCACCCTCCCGCCCAGCTCACCAGGGAAGGCGCAGTACTTGGGGTCCAGCTGCGCGGTAGCTTCCAACCCACCGGGGATGCGGTAGCTGCGCAGGAACAGGCCGTCCTTGGCCACGGGGCCTGCAGGGAAGATGAGGAAAGGGGGCGGCAGCAGTGGTTCAGCCACTCCGTACAGGATTCGCAGGGCAGGCGGGGAGAGCAGCAGCCGGGCAGGAGCCACCGTGGCTGGCCCCAGCAGCGGCAGTGGATAGCGTTCAAGTTCAAACCAGAGCATTGCTGCGCTCCAGCAGCCCCGCCGGCCCACCCAAAGGTCAGGCTGGCTGAGCAGGGGCCTCACCACATCCCCAGCACGTGCTCTCCGGGGTGTAAGCCTCCTGCACCGACAGTTCCTCCTCACTCTCCGGCTCTATCCCCGCCTCCGTCACCGACGGGTGCAGCTTGCTGTTGCAGGGGTTAACCGCAAAGCCCTGCAGGAGGGGGCAGGCCAGAGGCGGGGCAATCTTGCAGCACCCTTGCGCGTGCAATGGGGTAGGGCAGCGGCCGCGGATGCAGGAACAGAGGCGGCGGCAGTGGGGGTCGAGCGGCGGCAGGGCGCAGCGGGCACGCAGCAACCGAAAGCAGGCCTGCAGGTACATGCTGGTGTTCCTCGCCCCTGCAGGCTGCCTGCCAGGTCTGTCGCATGCCCATGCCCTACCCTCCCTCCTAGACTCAACAGGCTGCCCCGCCAGCTTGGGCCGCCGCACCGCCCGTTGCACCCGCACCCTCCTGTGCCCTCACCTGGTTCCGCAGCACCTCCCACTGGCTGCCAGATAAACTCCGGCGGCTGCTGTGCGCATACGACCTGCTGCCTCTGCTGTCTGTGTCTGCCGCTGCTGCTGCCGCAGTGCCGCCGGTCAGTGCCCAGGCGCAGGCGGCGGGGCCCAGCGTGCCTCGGCAGGCGGCAGCCAGCGTCTCCCCTGACCGTCGGGACGCGGCTGTGAGCGTAGCTCTAAGCATTCCGGCCGCTGCAGCTGCCGCTCGCTGATGCTGGTCGTGGGGTGAAGCAAGCGTCAGCGCCGGGGGCCGAGGGTAGCAGTCTCAGATGATCTCAAACAGCACACGAACGGCAGAGGGGCTGCGTCCAACCCTCGGGTTTTGACCTTTGCTGATTGCGTCTGCCACGCAAGCCCTTCTGAAAGATAGGCCGATCGTAGATCGCCGCCCTCCTTTGAACACTAGACCATCTTTCTGGCAATGACACCGTTCGCTGGAGCCGGCCTTCAGGCAGCACCCCTGCCCAGCGCCTGCCCGCCCCGCTCCCGCTGCCTCCAACCCGCCGCCTCCAATGCACCACAGCTACCTGGCCGCCAGGGCAGGATCCGCTGGCACAGCCTGTCCGGGCCGACTGCCACTGCCGCCGCCGCCGCCGCCGCCGCCGCCGCCGCCGCCAGCAAATGGGCTGCTGGGCACAGGCCGCGGCCAGCAACAGCAGCTGCCGGGGCGACGCCAAGGCTGCCGCCCGCACGGCACGCCATCCCACGCCGCAGCGCGCAGGCTGCGGCCGGCGGCGGCGGCAGCCAGGACGCCGAGGCGCCCACGGCAGCTGTGGCGGAGCACGTGCGTGCGGCGGCGGCGCTGGTGGCGAACACTTTCTTCCGAGACGAGATTGCCATCGGCGTGGGCAGCGGCCTGGGTGTGACCTACGTGCTTGAGGAGCTGGCGCAGCGGCTGGGCGCCGGCAAGCTGCGCGGCGTGCGCTGCGTGCCCGCCAGCGACGCCGCCGCCGGCGAGGCCGCTTTCCTCGGCGTGCCGCTCACCACACTGCAGGTGCGCGGCCGCCCCCGCTGCTCCACTTGTCGTCTGCACACGCCCCCATGCAACCCCCGTCCGACCTCTGCCGCCCTCGCGTGCCGTGGGTGCGCCGCTGCCTGCCGCAGGAGGCCGGCAGGCTGGATCTGTTCATAGAGGTGGCTGATGAGCTGGCAGCGGATGCAGAGGGCTCCCTGGCCTTCATCATCGGCCGCCAGCAGCGCCCCGCCCAGCCCCAGCTGCACCGCGCCCGCCAGCTGGCAGCCGCCGCCACCACCAACATCGTGATCGCCGAGGAGAGGGCCGTCCTGGTGCCGCGCCTGGGGGGCAGCCTGCCGGTGGCGGTGCAGGTGGGGCGGGCGTGGGGCCGCGCTGGGGCAGCGCAGGGGGAAGTGGAGGCGCTGAGGAGGGCGGCTTGCGTGCCAGTTGGCTGCCAACCGCTGGAGGGGCTGGGGCAGGAGGGCGGGGGCAGGTGTGGAGTAATGCCCAGCCCCACGCCGGGGAAGCTGGAGCTCGCATGCGCCGAGGCGTGCGCCTGCCTGGCACCATGCCGTTGCCTGTGGTGCAGGAGGAGGGGTGGGAGGTGGTTGGGGAGGAGCTGGATGATCTGTTCCTGGGGGATGCGGAGCTGTGGCGGTGAGGCGCCGGGCGGCGGGCGCGGCTGCCGCCGCCCCTGCGTCGCCGCTGCCGCCGCTGGCATGATGCCGCTGACGTGCGTGGCTGGCTGGCCCCGTGTGCGCTGGCACCCACCATCCTCATGGGCGGGACTCCATGGTGCTTTCCCCGTTGCTTGTCCCACACGATGCTCATTGCTGGCCCGTGCTGCTGTTGTGGCAGGCGGTCCAATGAGGAGGGCGCGGGGCCGAGGGGCGGCGACCAGCCGTACGTCAGCGCCGAAGGCCACGCCCTCATCGACATCCGCTTCTGTGAGCCGGCGGCTGCTGCTTCTGCTGCTTGCTGCGCTGCATGGGAGGTGTCGCCGGGAAGTGGCATGCCGCCGATCCGCCGTCGTGCACCGCCCGCTTGGGAAGCGCCGTCCCAAGCGTGCCTCCTGAACCGCGCGCTTGTGAGCTTGTGTTTGCCCTGCAGACGAGGGTCTGAAGCTGTTTGGGGAGGACGCAGACTATGGGTCCATCGCAGCCGAGATTGATGGCGTGGAGGGGGTGGTGGCGCACGGCCTCATGGCCAACGTCGCGGCGGCGGCGGTGATTGCGGGGCCCGCGGGACCGCACCTGGCCTGGCGCAAGGACGACCTCACCCAGCTGAACTGAGTCGCCGTGGGTGCCGGTGTGCGGCGGTTGCCGACATTCTTTCGATTTTTTGGGGCCCTGGAGCCGCGCTGTGCTGTTGCTCGACGCGCTGGGTTGGGGCGTCGGCGGGACGGCCAATGTGCCAACATTTGGATGCAGATGCTCACTGCATTTCTGCCACCATGACCCCTGCTGGATTCAATGTTCGAAACGGGCTGCAAACCGCCAAGATGGGGCCGGAATGAGCTGAGTGGAGAGCGACGGCGCCGAGGAAAGCGGCGGCGGCTTGGGATGACGGGCCGCGGCCCCTGGTGCTTTGTTGTTGCCGATACTGCCTGGATCGCACGGCCAGTGAGCATCATTCGTAGCCGCACCACCGAGTGAGCCGGGGGAGGGAGGGGGGCTGGAGGCGCGCATGAATGCGGACATGCGGGATAGTTGCTGGCGCCCGGGGCCTCTACCAGACTACAGCACGCCGCATAATCGCAGCTGCTGGGAGGAGATCGCCGACCTGCGTCCTGGAACGCGTTTTGCCGTGATTGCAGGGGTACTCGCATCGCTCCCTACAGATTGCCCTCGCTCCCGGCGCCCTCTGAAGGTGAATTCATGGTGCTGGGGCTTGGTGTCGGTCGGCGAAATGGGAGCCCCGCCTGATCGTCGGGTTCGGGTTGCCGGTGGCTGGCGGGCACAGGCGGCAACGGCGACGGCGCCCACTAATGGACTGCGGCTCTGGGCATATCCGAGGCTGTGCATCCCTGGCTGCTGCACCTTTTCGGGTGGACAAGACGGTGTGTATCCTCCTCCAGGCTCACATGGGCGATCTCCTGCCTGTCTGCTGTGCAGATGGCGGCTCCTCGCCCGGCGCTGGTGCTGGCCCTTGCGGCGTGCCTGGCGGCCTCCGCAGCAGGTGAGCCTGAGGCCTGCCGCCTACAATGAGCCAAGCTGACAAGCAGTGCTCTGCATGCATCTCAACGCAGCGCGGCGGCGATCATCCATGCAAGGCATTACACACACACACACCGCCCGGTGCTTCCCGCCCGCCACCCCTGCAGCCCAGCTCCCGGCCTTCTCCAAGCCGGGAGGCCCACCCTTCCTGCAAGGGCCCACATCGACCACCACCGAAGCGCCCACCTCGACCGACGGCTTCAATTCCACAGAAGCCGTTTATGTCTCCTCAGGCTGGTACGACAGCGGCAAGTCGATCGCCGTCTACCCAGACCCAGAGGGCACCGGATTTGTGATTGAGACGGGTGGGTGGCAGCGGCGGCAAGGCCAGCCAGCTCAAGCTGTTGGCGAGGGGGCAGGAGGCACATGCCGGCATGCAGAGGCACAACGGCAGCAGGGAAGCCTCGCCTTTGCCTGTGGCGGCAGCGCTGGCGGCTGTCCGGCGGGCGGCGACGACCGCTGTCGCTGCCAGCACACTACGATGCGAACCTTGCCCACCGTGCGAGGCTGCTTGCTTGGCTTGTGTGCCTGCCGCGCAGCCGAGTACACAAGCTGGGAGTGCGACCCTTCAAGCAACGGCTCCTACTTTGCCGTCGTCAAGGTCACCACCACGTCCCCCGGGGCCGCAGGTGGGTCACCCATCCCTTGCTTTCTTGCACTTACGTGTGGAGGCTTTACTCACGTGGTGTGCAGTCTTTCTCCTGCCATCAGCGCCACAGCCAACCTCCCCCATCCTCCACACAGCTTCGTTTGGCCCGCCTTGCCCGCCTGCCTGCAGCCACTACCAAGGAGTACTGCGAGTATGGTACCGCCGACCTGGTCGTCTACCAGGCAGTCGACTGGTGAGCCTGCTTGATCCGCTCGCTGGCTTGCACAATCATTGGGGGCGGCAGCGCAGTCGATGCTGTGGCAGCAATTGTGGCACATGCGCCCCGGAGCCGCGCTTGGCCGACCTCCTTCTGTGCCTGTGTGCCGACATTGTGTTTGTGCAGGTCCCGACAGGAGGGCAGCTGCCCGACGGTCGCTGAGTTCTCCAGCACCCTGCTCGAGTGAGCTGGCACGCTGCGCCTGCTGCGCCATGCTGTGGTGGAGGCGGCCGGCCCCGGCGCTGGCGCCGACGCAGCCCCTGCTGCTGATGCCCCCCCAGACACTGCCCTGCTGGCACTGCTACTGCTGACGCCGCAGCCCGTGCCGCCGTTGCTGTGCAGGGTGCCTATTGACATTCTGAATGAGTGTGGTGACCCCGACAATGGCATCTACCCCGAAACCTCCACCACCACCGACCCGTCGTTTGGTAGTACGATCACCACCTCCGAGACGGGGCTGGATGTGGGGTCGCCCCTGCCCGCCATTTAGAGGGCTCGGGCCCGCAGTGCCGCACCAGCTTGATTCTCTGATTCGCTACTCTCACATCCCTGATGCGCTCAATCAATCCCACCCGTGACCAATTTCCGATTTAACGTAACCGCCCTGCATTGTTCTCTCCATCAATGAGGCTCCTCAGTGAGCCTGCGCGTGAGCTGCGCAGGTGGGAGACGGCACGCGTAATCCCTAGTTAAAATCTGATACAGCAAATGTAATGCTCATGGAGCAACTGTGAGGCGTACAAAATGCATTGGAGCCCAAAGGCCCCACGGGGCAGCAGGGAAATTGAGGCTCCGATGGGCGGTGGCGGCAGGTGGTGGCAGGTGGGCCACACGGCGCAGCTGCTGCTCTTCATGAGGCATGGCGGCTCCCTGGGTGTCTTGGCGGTTCCTAGCATTGCCTTCCAGCACCACCAGGCATAGATTTTGCTCAGAGGAGGTGGGTCCCGGGGATTGCCTGCCCCCCCGCCACCACCTGGCTGCCACGTCAGTCGGCCTGCTTGCCGACACAGGGACCCACGTGGTCGATTGCAGGTGCTTCTGCGCACCCAAATCTGCTCAATTGCAAGGTGCAAGTGGTGAGCTCACATGTCGGGGATGTGCTCCTCCCCACCCAAACAACCCTGACATGACACCCCTGCAGTCTCACCGACATGCGGAGCCCAACTCACGCGCGCTCCTGCGCTGCGCAGGAAGAGGACCCCCTCGGCTTTGGGCAGGTCCGGCTTGCGAGGCGGGGACCGAGGCCGCCGACTTCACGGCAAGCTCAATGGGACGGCATTGGGGTGGTGGGGGCTCGGTTGCAAGCCCCCTGCCGGGCAACCCTGCGGTGCCGCCAGCACAAGCACCGCCCTGGCGGCACGCTCCAAATGCCCCTCCTAGCTGCCTGTCCTGTTGACAGGCACGATGGGATGCCAGCTGCTGTAATTGCGGCTCTCTGCTCCTTGCAGGATGGCTCCTTCGGGGCTCTCCGGCCTGGCGCTCGCCTGCGTCGTGGCATGGCTGGCCGCCGCCGCCTCAGGTGCCCGCCCGTCCATCCCACTTGCCCCTGCCTGCATCTCCCTCCCCATCCACGTGGCGGCCCCTCACCCTCCCTGCCCCCTGCCTGCCTCCCGCCTGCAGCCCAAAACCTGCAGGTGCCCATATTTTCTGAGCCGGGCGCCCCGCCTTTCCTCGACTCGGTCATCTATGGCTACACCAGCGGCCCCGGTGCCGATGCTCCCAAAGGAGAGATCAACAGGGCAGGGGTCATCAGCGCGGGGCGGTTCACGTGAGAGCGGAGGGCGCGAGGCCGAGGGCAGGGGGTCGGTTGGGCAAGGGTGCGGGGCCGCCCAGGTCGGGGCGCGGCCGTGCCGAGCAGGGGCCGCCTGTCGCCTGCTGTTGCCACCTGCTGCTGGTGTTGTCGGCGGGGGCGCATGGGCCGTGGCTTAGTCCGGTGCGATATGCCTCCTTCCCGCTTTGTCCCTGCATGCAGCTACACAAAGTATACAGCAAGCGGTCCCACCACGCAGATGGGTGCATGCCTGCCGCCTGGCTGCCAGCTGCCAGCCGTCACAGCTGGCGCCGCCACGAGACTTGGCTGCTGCGGCCGCGCCGCCACCTGCCGCCTGCCAGCGCTGCTCTGCCTTTCCCCGGCTGCCGCGCTGTGCTGTGCTGTGTGCTGTGCTGCGCGCCTCCTCCTTCACTCCCGCCTCGCCCCACCTGAGCAGGCGAGTACGACTCTTGGGAATGTGTCGACCCAGACGGCAGCCCAGGTGAGATCAGTGGCTGGGCGCTGCCCCAGCTGCAGCCGAGCAGCGGGCCGCAGCCCGGCTGGCAGTCAGCACCTGCTCTTGGGAGGCTGCAGGCTATCCACAGCCTGCACTGCACAGCTCTGGAGGCGCCTGGCTTCTGCACATGCGCCCGCCTGGCTCTTCCCTGTGCAACCTCTGCGTTATTTCTTTTCGTTCTGCAGGCGCATACCGCGCGGTTGTCTACGTGACTGTGTCGACGCCGGACATTGAGACCGGCAGTGAGCGCCCGCTGCCTGGACTGCTTGTGACACACGCTGCAGTACCAGCTGCACTGCCGCCCTGCACTCGGCAGGCCATTGCACTGGTCAGGGTGCTCTCGCCCCACTGGACGTTGCTGGTTAGCCAGCCTCCCGCAGCCCGCAGCCCGCAGCCCGCCTTCCTTCCTTTGCGCTTTGAGGAGCTTGCCGTCAGTTCAGCACGGGCATGCTAGGAGTGCTGAGTTTTCCTTGGGCGTTATGGTACCGCTGCATGCAGACCTTGTCAGCGAGCTGAGGGTGTACTGCGAGTATGGGGAGGTGGACCCAGAGCGCCGGATCCAGAAGTGGTGAGGCAGCCAGCGCCAGCTGCGGGATAGAAGGGGGCCATGCTAGCACACCCTGGCTGCTGCTCGCCTTGGGCACCTACCAGGAACGTCCCTGAAGGCTGCTCCCCTGACCCACTGGCGTGTGGCGGTGCAGGGCCTGGAGTGAGGACCCCAGCACGTGCCCAAACATCACTGAGAGGATAAATTATCGGGACTGGTGAGTGGCGGGTGCAGCTGTTTCAACCTGCTCGGATGTGTAGAATGCAGCCGCCCTTGCCACCCGCCGGTGCCGCTCACTGCTGCTTGTTATGTTTTTCCAGGACAGCGCCGCGCCTCAACTACTCGTGTGGGGTTCCTGGCTTTGCCGAGACCTATACCGGGCTGGATATTGCCGAGGACGAGACAGTGACAGAGGAGACTGCTGGCGGGTTTGGCCCAGAGGCATTTATGGATTTCGAGGGCGATGGCGAGGTGAGGGGACACCGTTGCCAGGCTGATAGGGTAGCATGGGCGCAAGCGCTGGAGTGTGCTCATGGAAACACTGCTCGGGCATGCGGCCCGCTGCTGCTGAGCAGTCAATTCGAGCTGCTTGCCTGCTGTCCTCCCCATGCAGGTCAACGCGATAGATGAGGACGACGACGGCGATGGTGCGCCCTCCGCCTGCTTTGCATGCCTGCAAGCCCTGCATTGTTGCCTCGCCAGGGGGGCCCGTGCAGCTGGCGCATGAAGCAAGGTGAATCGCTTCAGGGCTGAGCCCTCCTTCTCAGGGCCACTCGGTGTGGCGTGTTTATGTGTGTGCAGGCGTGACTGATGACGCAGATCCAGATGACAATGGGGACGGGCTGGACGAGGATGTACGGGAGGCATTGCTCGGCCAGGACCCTCCAGTATGAGGCTGCAGACGCATGTTCAGCTGAAGCGTGCAGGCGACGGGCACAAGCCGGGCAGGGGCTGTCGAGGCCTGGCCTGGCCCATGATCATATGATGCCTGCTGCTTGCTTGCTTGCTTCGCAATTTCAGGGGCGCACATTTTGATAGATGATGATTTTGTCGTCATTCATTTCTTTCCACCTGTTCTGCATCCCACTCATGTGAATGAGGGGGGAAGAGGTGGCATGAGCGCGGCCTGGGTACTGTCGCACAGTGGCGCAAGGCGGCAGCCGCTGCCAGGGAGCCCTCCTTCCCGCCTGCATTCCACTATGCCGCTGCACTCAATTGGATCCCGTGTTGATAGACCATGCTTCCGTCCAGGTGGCCCTCCCACTGGCACATGGGGGGCCGCGGCCTCCTTCGTCGCGCGGGTCGAACCATCGGCATCCAAGCAGCAATTTGCACAGGATCGCCTGCTACAATCCTCCAGTCTCGGTGGAGGGTTCTGCGCCTACCCAGAGCTCCCTCCTGAGGTTCCCCAGGGTGCGTTTTGGCGGCGCTGCAGGCCAGAAATCGGCCACCGGTGGGTGGTGCAAGCGCAATAGGGGCGGCAAGGAGCCGCCCGCTGGGTGAACGAACTCCTCCACTGTGCCGTGGCGCCAGCGCTAACACGCCGCTGCGCATGCCGCACACCCCCGCTGCTTGCGGAACTGCCTGCTGCGGTTCTGCCAGCGACACTGTGATTGTTGCACCTAGCCTCTTCCTTTGCTCCATCCCTCTGCAGATGGCGCCAGCCCGCCGCAGCGGCCTGGCGCTGCCGTTCCTCGCCGTTGTGCTTGCGGCCGTCGTCTCAGGTGCGGCTGCTGCTGCATGCTGGCTGCGCACAGTGTTGCCACCATGCCTCACTGTCCGCACCCGACCGCCACACCCACTCCACACGCCACAGCCCCCCAGCCACCCACCCCCACGCCGCAACCACTCCCACCGCTCACGCCCTCGTGCTGCGTGCAGCCCAGGGCGACGGCGTGCCGGTCCTGGAGAATGAGGGCGGCCCACCCTTCTTGGATGCAGTCGTCTACAGCTACAGGTGACCTTGAGTCAGGCCTTGTTATTCAGCACCTTCCACAGCCAGTGCGTGTTCGGCCAAGGAGCAGGAGATGGTTCCCTGGTTACCCAGGAGTCGGCCGGGTTTTTTTTGGTTTCTTTCTGATGATCCCACCTTTGCGGTCCTTGGCGCCTGCAGCACCCAGCCCGGCGACAGCGTGCCGGAGGGGTCGGTCAACCGGGCGGGGGTGATCAACGGCGGGCGCTTCACCTACACACGCTACACAGGAGAGGGTCCGCTGACGTACATGGGTGAGCGCAGCGCTGGCTGGCGGAGCGCTGGCTGGTGGCTCAGTCGGCGGCGGGTGGCTGGGTGGGGGCTGAGGCAGCGGCTGCTGGCTGTGCTGGGGCCTGAGCCGGGCTGGAGGTTGTGCCAGCAGCTCAGCCTGGCTGCGACTGGTGGCTGGTGCTGGGGTCCGGCTGGTGCGTCGCGGCAGCGGCAGCGCCGCCGCCGCCGTGCGCTGGCCGCTCCTCGGGACGGGGTGCCTGCGCAGCTTCCCACGCCGTGCCGCACGTGCGCCGCCCCTGCCTGGCGCCTGCAGGCAACTACGTCTCTTGGGAGTGTGTGGATCCAGACAACGAGCCAGGTGTGCATGGGCTCTGCTGGCTGGGTCCAGATCCCTTGCTACCTGCAAAGCAGCGGCGGTGGCTTGGGCTGGCATGCGGCATTCAGCTGGGCTACGCCCGTGACGGCCGCCGGCTGTGCCTGCCCCTGCCGTGCAGGCACCTACCGCGCCATCGTGGCAGTCCAGGTGGGACTTCTGGTGGGGGCGGCTGCCCCTGCGGGGCGATGGTGGTGGTGGCTGCCGGGAGCACGCTGGGGCATCAGGTGAGCGGCAGGGAATGCAAGTGCAGCCACCACTTACACTCGGCGCCCTCCGCTGCCCCGCGTCTGCAGGCATTGCAGCCCGATCCGGACTCCAACGGTGAGGGGGGCTGCAGGCAGCATCAGCAGCATCAGCAGCGGTGGCGGCTGGTCGGCACTGCTGCAAGTGGCTGCGCGGCTGCACACACGTGCTGTTTCAGAGCGACCCCCAGACAGCCCACCCAGGAGGCGCGTCCTCCCGACAACCCGCCTGCTGTGCCCGCCTGCTGCAGTGGTGCTGGTGGTGCAGCAGGTGATTTGTGAGTACGGCGTCGTCTCTCCCGCAAACAACATCCACCGCTGGTGAGCCCCGCCTCCCCGCCCCTCCCCGTCGGCATGCCAGGCAGTCACCCGGGGGCGGCACAGCAGGCACGGCACCGGGATGCCATGCGCGCGTCCGACGTTGGAGCCTGGGCGCCGCCCCCATCCCTGATCCTTGCTGCAGGGCGTGGGGAGATGACACGACCTGCCCCAACGTAACAACGAGGGTCAACTACAGGGACTGGTGAGCTCTCAGAGAGGGACCCAAGCTGGTTGCCCTTGCCGCCGATGATGCATCGCCCGCCCCAGCGCACGCCTGCCCTGCCGCCCGCCCACGCCGCTGCCCTCCCACCGCCTGCCCTGCAGGGCACCGCCCGGCCTCAACTACACCTGCGGAGTGCCGGACCTCTCCCAGGCTGAGGCTGAGCTGGATACCGGGGAGGAGCCGGTGCTGGAGCAGACCACAGACAGCTCCTACCCGGATGCTTACGTGGATGTGGAGGGCGACGGCCTGGTGGGTGGCACCTGTCCCGTTCACCCGGCCCGGCCCGGCCTCGGCAATGCAGCGCGGCACCTTGTTGGCGGGTGCCTGCTGGAAACCCAGGCAGCCATGCCAAGATGGTCGTAGGAGGCCTGCCAGCTGCCCCCGCCTGCCGTCATGATTGCTTCCGTTGCACCCTGCGTGCCGGGTGCAGGTCAATCTGGCAGACAACGACGATGATGGCGACGGTGCGCTGCCCTGGCCTGGTTTCAGAGTCGCACCTGGGCCATCTGTTCATGGGCCCGTACAGCTGCAGCTGTTGCCCCGTGCAGGGCATGCGTGGCCGCTCACATGCCCAGCTCAGCTGTGCATCTGACCTCGCGTGGCAGATTGAAGGGCACATCTGTGGCTGCCAACAGCATGCTGGGTTTTTTTTGTGGGACTGTGCAGGCATCCCAGATTCGCAGGATCCGGATGCCAACGGCGACGGGTATGACGATGAGACGGGGGCGCAAGTGCTGGGCGCGCCAGGGTCGGACGAGGGCGGCACGCGCCGCTGAGACACCCCGCCTCGCCTCGCCATCGCCCCCGACGCTCCTGCTGCTTGCGCCGCGCGGCTCCCTGTCCCCCGCCTCCTCCATTGTGCCTGCCGATGGGGCAAAGAGCGCTCCCACCACCCGCTGCGTCGTCCAGCCAGCCCATGTGGTTCATGTGACCGGTAGAGGAACACGCTGTGGCCCTGCACCTCTCTACTCTATTGTAACGTAACATCATCACCAGTGTTGCACGGGCGCCGCAAGGATCGCGGGCAGCGCGGTAGGGCAGCACCAACAACTGGCGGCGGCCGGGGCGGCCGGGGCCTGCCGGAGACGCCCACAGCCCGGCATCGCAGCGCGGCATCACTCTGACAGCACAGCCTCGGCATCCATGGCCACTGCTCCACCCTCGCTGCCATCCGCCTCCCCGCCCTCCTCCTCCTCCGCCTCGCCTTCCTCTGGTAGCTCCCCCTCCTCCTCCTCCTCTGCCCCTTCTCCCCCGCCCACTGCCCCCTCCTCGCCATCCGCCTCCTCCGCCGCAGTAGCAGCATCGCCGCCGCCGCCGGCTGCGGTGTCTGCCGCCGCCGTCGCTGCGCTGCCATCGGGCTGCGCGCCTGTCGCGGCGGTGGTGTCTGCTGCCGCGCCCGCGCTGCCCGGCAGCTGCCCCGTCGTGGCGTCGCCCTTGCCAGCGACCTGGGCGGCGGCGGGAGCGGCAGGGGCGGGGGCGGGGGGTGGCGGGCACTCAGAAGGGTACATCACCCGCGCAGCCACCTCCAAGTCCCCTCCCTTCTGCACAGCCTGCAGCAGGAACAGGCGTGCGGCGGGGGCATGGGGCCCACGAGGGCGTGGTGAGCGGGGAAGGCAGCAAAAGCGGCTAACCTCTTGCGCATGGAGCAAGAGTGCAGGCTGCAGGCTAGCCGCAAGGCATAGCAGGACCGCAGGGGCTTCGGTTAAGGTCTGGCACCGCAACTGCAGGCCCCCCTCACCGCCGCAAACGCCTGCAGGTTGGTGCGGGCCACCGCGCGCAGCGCCTTCCAGCTGTACAGCTTGCTGCGGGACTGCGGTACAGGCGGCACGGCGGTCCCAGGGCAGCGGGGCAGCGGGGCAGCAGGCGGGCGGGTGAGGCCGGGCCAGCAGCCGGCTGGCCAAGCACGCGACGTGCGTGCCCGCTCCACTTCCTCTCCTTGTGCCGCCATCACTGCACGCCACGCCAGCCGCCCCCCCGTCCACACCACCAGTCCCGCCCAGCTGCTCACCGCCTTCATCAGCAGCCCGTCGTCCTCCCCCGCCGCCGCCTCCCGCATCTCCTCCACCACAGGCTCCATGAGCTGCCGCACCGTCTTGAAGCCGCCGCGGTCGTCGGCAGAGAGCGCTGCGGGAAGAAAGAGCGGCGGCGGGAAGAAAGGTCGGCGGCGGGCCGCGCCTCAGCGGCCGGTCGCCGCACACCGCCACGCCAGCACACCGCCACACCGCCACGCACACCAACCCACAGCTACGGTGCCGGCGTACCCAACTACAATACTCGCACAAAAAGCAAGCCTGGCGGCCGCGACTGACCTGCCTGTGAAACCGAAACACCCTCCTCACCCACCCGACAGGTTGTCCTCCGCCAGGTTCCACAGCCTGTCCAGCTCGTCTGTCCCCACCCGGATGCCAAACACGGCGTCGGAGCCCAGCTTGCGGCGCTTGGGGGCGGGCGCGGCTGCGCGCACGGGAGGTTCACACACACAGCAGGGCAGGGCAGGGGCGAGGTCGGGGCAGGCAGGAGGGCGGCGGGCAGGGCCAGACGGGCCGGGAACGCTCAGGGCGGCGGCAGGCAGGAGCGGCACGGCCGGGCGGAGTGGCGGCGCAACGCAACAAACATGCATCATCCGCGCAACGCGACACGGCGGCGGCGGGAGCGGGCGCGGCGGTGTGGGGCTGCGGACGGGCGGGCCGGCCGGCCGGCCGGCAGGCAGCGACGGGACGCACTCAGGTCTGCGTCTTCGCTGCCGGCGGGCGGCTGCGCGGCGGCGCGCTCCAGCGGGGCGGGCGGGCAGCTGCCCTGCTTCCACGCCGCCCAGCTGTCCTCCCAGCGGACCAGGTGGCGGATGGCGGCGGCAAACTGGGGGCCCCTGTCGGGGGTGGCCTCCAGCTCAGCATACACCTTGGCGCGCAGGTCCTGCCGGGAAGAAAGGACGGGAAGAAAGGAATGAAGAAAGGAAACGTGAAAGACAGGAAGGAAGGGCTCTGGTCAGTTCTGAGCCGGGCGGTGACGTGGGGTGGGCCGGGCTACAGGCAGCGCGCCGCGGGGGACGACGCAGCACGCAGTGCGGCAGCATGTGCGAGCGGGGGCGAGGGAGGAGGCAGGGGAGGGGCGTGCCTGCAAGTCTTCCAGCAGCTTTGCCCTCAACCCTGCCTTGTCTTTCAGCCGCGGCCGCTCGCACCACTGCGGCGTGTCACGGGGAGGCAGGGCGGGGCGGTTGCCAGCAGCAATGGCGGCGGGGCGGCGGCGGCGAGGGTGGCGTGTGCATGCAAGAGGTGTAGGCCTGCAGCCCAGCCCGCCGCTGCGCAGCCGGGCAGGCAGGCAGGCCGCCACACAGCTGCCAAGCTGCATGTGCAGCAAGAGGCTCGCCTGCATGAGGATGAGGCACTGCAGCAGGAAGTGGCGGCGGAAGGTGGCGTCGCGCAGCTGCAACCCCATCAGCCGGCTGCTGCTGAGGTACTTGACGCTGGAGCCCTGGCCGTCACCCGCGCCTGCGCAGCCAGGCGGCAGCGGAGCGGGGTGCGAGATGCTGAGGGGCAAGCAGCGGGCAAGCTGAGGGCAGAGGAGGCGTCAATGCGAAGGCCGGGACAAGTGGTCAAGGCAGCTGCTGGGCAGCCGGGGGTCGCTGTGCCAGCCGATTCGGCAAACCTCACGGGCGGTGAGGACAGCAAAGCGCGGCGCGGCACAGCGAGAGAGAGGGCCCGCGCCAGCCAGCGAGCCCCCAGCCCAGAGGAGCGCGGCCAAGAGCGGGCGCCCGCCGCGGCGGCCTCACCCGGCCCCGCCGCCGCGCTCTCCCCCACGGTGACTTTCTCCAGGCGGAACTTCTCCAGCACGCGGCGGATGTCACGCGACACCTCCCCCCACTTGCCCACCTGCAGCGCCGCGGGCGGGTTGCTGCGGGCCGCGGGCCGGCGGCAGGCGGGCGTGTGCGCGTAAGTGCATGGGGCAGGAGGGTGTGTGTGGTGTCAGGGCAGGGCCTCAGGCCAGGCGTGGCCCGGGTGCAGGCACAGGGAGGGCCTCCTGAGGGTGGCGCCGGGTGCCCATCCGCGGGCGACCAGATTTTGGAGAGGCGGGGCAAGGGCCCACCTGAAGTATGACTGCAGGCCCCAGAAGGTGCGATAGAAGGCGGCATCCACTGGCTTGCCCTCGCTATCGGTGGCGCCCTGCAGAGCGCGGGCGCGGCGCGGCGGGCGGCCGACGAGCGTGGAGTGCAGGCGAGCGTGGGACGGCAGCGGTCGCGGCAGCAGCGCGGCCATGCGGTGGGTGCGGCAGGTGCAGGCGCAGGCTCGAGCCGCAGCGCCAGGCCGCACAAGCGCCCGCCCCTTGAACACATGCCCAGCCCTCTCAGCCCCAGCGTCCAGCCCCAGCTCCTTGCCACTTTGCTTCTTTTCTGTTTCCGCCCACCTCCTGCACATCCTCCACCGGCGTGGAGTTGTCTGTGTTGAAGGCGCCCCCCAGGTTGACGCCAGACCGCTCCGTCAGCGGCAGCAGCTTGGCCAGGAAGAGCAGGATGCGGCCGCACAGCATGGCGTTGGCGCTCTGCGCCCGGCAGCGGCGGCGGCAGGAGGCACAGGCGCAGGTGAGAAGAAAGGGAGGCGAGTGTCCAGGAGCCTGCCCCTGCCCAGGGCCAGCCTCCCGGCCAGCCGCCCCACACATGCCCCACACATGCCACACTCGCTCTATGCCCGGGGCTCTGCAACAACAAGCAGGTGGACGGACAAGCAAGCAGCAAGCCCGTACCTTGGACAGGCGCTTGAGCAGCATGTTGCACGTGCGCAGCAGCGTGTTCTTGCAGCGAGCCTCCTGGAATGCGGGGGACTTGAAGGTGGCGGTACGGGAGTCGAGGAAGGCAAACACGCCCTCGCAGTCCTGCACGCTGGCGCCCTCTGTGATCTGCATGGGGAGGCGGGGAGGGGAGGGGTGGAGAGGGCCAGGGTGGGTGCGGCTCGGCAGGCCAGGCGGGTGTGTATGCGTGCATGCATGGATTGGCGGTGGTGGCTGGGGGCGGAGGGCTTGATTTGAGCCGATGTGAGCGAGCGAGCCGGCCGGGGGGCGGGCGAACAAGCGAGCGGCATGGGCAGGGGAGCCACGGCGGCGCAGTTGCTCACCTGCTCCAGCAGCTGCGCGGGCAGGCCGACGTCCAAAGGCGAGGGCTTCTGCGCTGCCAGCCACAGCACGGCATCCAGGAGCTCTGCCACCGCCCCCTGCTCCCGCCCCTGGCCCAGCTGGTACTGCATGACCTGGCACCCTGCGGCCTTGGCATCCGCCAGCAGCTGCCCGGCAGCCGCGTGCAGCGCGTTGGCCAGCTGCTCCTGCTGCGCCGCCGGCAGCGGGCGGAAGGCCGGCGGCGGCTCGGCCGCCGCCGCCTCGGGGAAGGCTGCGCGCACCAGCTGCGTGGCGACCGCCTCGGGCTGCGAGTGCTGGCGCAGCGCATCGAGCACCAGCGCCTGCGGGACAAGCGAGGAGAGAGGCCTTGCGGGCGGTGGGGAGGCAGCAGGCGGGGCGGCCCACAGCGGCGAGTCGCTGGCTGCCAGCCGCCGCTGCGGCGTCCCATCGAAGCTGCACTCACCTGCAGGCGGGCAATTTGCTCATCGTAGACCGTCATGGCGCGAGGAGGAGACGCCAGGGATGGTGATCGGCTCGGGGCGTGCTGCCCGGCCTGCTATTCAAGGCCTTACGTCCACGGCTACGTGTTCTGCTTCAGGGAAAGCGAGGGTCTGCCTGCTGTGAAGGCTGTGAAGGCGATGGCAAGGGGCGGAGTGGCTGCCTAGCACTGGCGGCGGTGTAGTTTGCGGGCGAAAGCGTGAGGGTGATGGGGCATGCCAGCGATTGACGGGGGGTGCCATGCTATGACAGGCTGGACCCCCAGCACGGCTGTCGAAATTCGTTTGCCGCCTGCAGCGCCATTGCCAATTGCACCCGACTCCCTGTCTCTCGTACCGCCAGACAGTCCAGGCACGCCAGGCTCAGCGACCGCCAGGAGCAGCCGGGAGAGCCGCCCAGAGCCAGACAGCCATATCCAGGGCCCGCGCCGCCCACATTCTGTCCCTTTCAGCTTCCACCATCACCAGCGGCAGCATGGGAGCCGGCTGGCGCAGGTTCTCGGAGCAGGCAAGGCCAGCTGCACGCAAACCGTTACCCGCGGGCCTGGCTGCCGGGGCTCCTCCCGCACCCTGTGCTGCCCCCAGCTCGCTGCCAGCATCGACTGTTGCATTGACACGCGCCTCCCCTGGTTCTCCGCCTGCAGGCCAAGCAGAAATGGCACCTGGGGGCGGACAGGGAGTTTGTGGCCACGCCCAACACCAGGTGCGGCGCCTCAGGGTGCAGAATGCAACCAGAGGAGGGGCCACTGCAGCTGGGCCGCCTGCTGCAAGCTGTCGCCGACAGCCGGCATGCGCCATCTCATGCCGCCGCCCCGTGCTCCTTGCTGCTGCCCTGCCTGCCCGCAGAAATGAGATGATGCTGCAGGAGGCTGGCGAGTTTGCAGGCCACCTCAAGAAGATTGAGAAGGACATCCGGGGGCTGAAGAATGCCACCGAAGGTGAGCAAGAGGGCGGCAGATGACGTGTGCGAGGGCGGCGGCGCCAGCCGGCATCTTGCCGTGCCCTGGCGGTTGGTAGCTGCCGCGCCTGCCTGAACTGTGTCGTCGCCGTGGTTAGCAGAGCACCAGAGGCCGGCCCAGCACAGCTCTGCCCCTCCCCCCACACAACCTGTTGTGGCGTGACGCCGACCCGCTTCCCCTCTGCTCGCAGGCATCCTGCTGTCCACCAAGGCGGTGCTCTCCGCGCCGCTGCCGCGGGTGTACGAGGAGACGAGCGGCGGCAAGGTGGTGCCACTGAATGCCAGCCAGGGCGCGGGGCAGGTGGTGCTGCCCATAGGCGGCACCGATTTCAATGCCGAGGAGCTGGCTAAGATCAGCAAGGAGACCAGCAAGAAGCTGGAGAGCGAGGTGCTGGCGCCCATGGAGCGCTGGATGAATGCCTACAACCTGGTGCAGGTGGGCGAGGGCCTGCCAGAGGCAGCTCGGGCCGCTTGCCGGAGGCAGCAACAGCGGCGGGTGGCAGGGAGGCCAGAGCAGACGGGATCTGGCTGCTGGGTGGCTCCAGGTGGTGCGGTGGGCAGCCCAGTGGAGTTTTGGTTGCTGGGCTGGCTGCCAGGGTGCATCCGCTGCAGGCACGCGCGGCATGGCCCGGCGGCGGCTGCCTCCCCACAGCTTGCTTGGCACGCTGTGGCATGATGCTGATACTCGCCGCTGCCTGCCGGCCCTCCCCTCCCGCAGAACCGCATGAACAAGCTGGAGAGCCTGCGGCTGGAGGTGGACTCCCGCCGCCGCACGGTGGCCAAGCTGGGCAAGAAGGTGGGTCCCGGGGCCTGCTGCAGTGCCTGGGCCAGCCTGCCGTCCCGCGCTACATCCTGCGCCGCACCCTGGCCAGCTGGGCTGGCTCGCCGCGTCGCAGGGGTGGCCGCCAGTCACGGCAGGTGGATCAACAGGCGCGCATGCACAACACGCACCGACCCGTGTCCCCTCCTGCCTGCGCCACCTGGCTGTGCGGCGCCGCAGGTGGACCTGCAGCGAGCGCGGCTGCCCCAGACGCGGGCCAAGGGCGAGTATGAGATGGAGAACACGATCAAGGTGCTGCAGCACAAGGAGAGCAAGCTGAGCGCGTGCCGGCAGTCGTTCAAGGAGCACGAGGCGCTGGTGTACCACCAGCTCACCAACCTCATCCGCGACACCGTGTGGCTCAAGAGCTACCTGTCGGGTGGGTGGCGAGGGTGTGCAGGAGGTGGGGAGGCTGTGGCTGTGGGAGAGGCGCAGGAGGCTGGGTACAGTTGCTGGTGGCAGGCACGGGTGGCAGGCAGGTGTTCATTGGCAGGGCGAGTGAGCAGCGCCCCTGCAGCACCAGCTGCCTCTGCCCTGACCACCTTCCCTTGCCCGCTCCCCGCCTGCTGCAGCGGTGCTGCGGGTGCAGGCGGAGGCCTTCCAGGCCGCCAACGTGGCGCTGGGCCAGATGAAGGCGGCGGCGCTGCCCGCGCCCTCCGCCGACATGGGCCTGCCGGTGGCTGCCTCCATCCCCAGCACGCCAGAGGCCATCGGGGCGGGCCGCGACGCCACGCCGCCGCACCTGCAGGTGGGGCCGGTGTGTGTGGGAGGGGCATTGTCACATGAGGAGCCAATCCACCTTGCCATCGGCGCATACGCATCACCTGTTGCACAAACGGGAGCAGACATAGCTGCCCATAGAGCCCGTGGAGGTGCCCTCCCGCTCTACATGATCAGAATGCACCCCCAGCGTGACGCCTACCTGCACCACGCGCAGCGCACCATGCACCTGCATGTGCACACACCAGGCGCGCCTGGCGCCCTCCTGGCTGCAGGCTAACATGCGCGACATATCCCGCAAGCTGCAGCGCACCAAGGAGAATGGCGCCAGCATGGCAGTCTCCGCCTCGGCGCTGGGCAGCAAGGACAGCCTGTACACGATCCAGGACGCGCCCGCTGTGCCCTCCTCCCGCATCCCCGCGGCGCAGGTGAGGGCCTCCTGATGGTGTGGTGGCAGGGGTGGCAATGGCAGCTGTGTGGGGTGATGTGGCTGTGGGCCGGGGCTGGGGCAGCGCAGCAGGCGTGTCATGTCATGAGATCGGGCTGGTCAGGCAAGCAGCCAGGCGCAGAGGAATTGCTTGGATTGACAACACCTTGCATCCTTACTGTCCTGCCCTCCTCCCTTCCGCTGCAGCCTGCCTACGATCGGTATGGCGAGCAGACTTATAGCCGCACCACTGTGCCGGCGTGGTGAGCGGGTGGCAGCGTGACTGCCACGCAAGCCGCCGCGCCCTCCACCAGCCCTTCACATCAATCAGTTGTTCAGCATCAACGCAGCCAGATCTAGGCAGGCAATTGTTCCATGTGGCAGCAGAAAGCAGGCCCCTTATAGGCAGGCAGGCACTCCCTAGCTAGGCTAGTTGTGCTTTGTTCCCGCCTCCAGCAGCGTCCGCTGTAGCAGAAGGCATTTCCTTGCTGCTGGTAGGCTCCCTTTTCTCCCCCGCTCTCTCTCCTCAGCAGCACCGACATCACACGCACAACACTTTCCCCGCCACCGCTCTGTGCGGCGGCCGACTCGCAGCTGCGGCCGCTGCCTGCCTGCTGTGACAATGTGGAGAGTCGCCGATCATCAGTGATTGACCCCCTATTCTCCCTCCTTGCGGCCCCACGATTGGAGCTTCTTGCGTTGCTGCAAACTCGCCACTTGCCCTGCCCAAGCTGTGACGCTGCTGAGGGGTTTGGTGCCCCCGCTGTGGTGCCCGCTCTTCTTTACTTTGCACTGACTGTGTGCCTAGCCCCTCTCCTGACTTTCGATAACTATTCAATCGCTGGGGATCTCCTGCTTTTTGGTGCTTGTAACTCTACTCTCGCTTGATGGATGCAACGGCGGTGGCCTGTGCCGCCAACAAGCGGGGCGGGGCGGCGCTGAAGGTTGCCACCCCTGTGCTCCTGGGGCCTGCATTCATGCTTAAACGATGGTGAATGCATCAACACGCCTTTGTTGCAGCACATGGGCTGTGCAGGTGGTGGCTACCGAAAGTTGCAGCAGGCCTCTTGGGGATGAGCTGGCCGATGCTGGGTGGGAGCATGCTTGTGCTTGCTTCCCAGCCTCTCAATTTGCCTGAAGGAAGAGTGTGGGCGCCCAACAAACCCACCCGGCTTGCTCCTGTTCAGAGGGCAGCAGAATGGGCGTGGTCAGGAGAGCCCCACTTGCTGGCGCGCCGCTGGTCCAGCAGGCACCACAGGCGATGCGGCTCGCCCGCCCTACCGGTCCCACTAGAGCGCCTGCAAGCCTCACCAGGGCGCCAGCGGCTGCGCGCCGCCTGGCAGCAGGCGGCCGGGCGCCGCTGCCGCGGCCCCAGGCCGGGCAGGAGGATGCCGGCCTAGCAGTGGCTGACGCCGATGCAGCAGATGGCGAGCCCTCCCTTATAGACACTGCCATGGCGGCAGTCAGGTGCGGCGCCGCTTGCAGTGCCGGATCGATCGGCCGGCGCACACGTGCTTGCGAGCTGCCGCCTTGGCCGCCGCCCTGCCCGGCAGCGCGGCAGAAGCGGCGGGGTGCGGCCCTGCCTGGCAGCGCAGGAGAGCGGAATAGCGACACCCCACCGGCAGCCTGCACTGCTGACTATCGGCTGGCGCCCGCCGCCTCCATGGCACTTGCATCCAACCCGCGCCCTGCCCCCGCCTTGCCCATGCCGCAGCCCCTTTGAGCAGCCGGTCTGGCGGTGGGAGGAGTCGCCCGACGCGTTGCGGGCCTACGGCGCCTTCTTCGGCATCCTGCTGCTGGGGCTGATCCCTGCAGTGCAGGTGCTCGGGGGATGGGGAGCGCGGAAGGCTGCGGAGCGGGGGCTGCGCCCTTGGTCAACACACCATGCAACCACGGCCCTACACCCACCCACCCTCCACACACACACACGTGCGCACACACACACACACTCACACTCACACTCCCTCCCTGTTCCCTCCCCCCAATCCCCACAGGACAACCGCTACTCCGACCTGCCTTATTTCCTGGGCCTCGCCTCGCTGACGATCTACATCGGCGCCCACCGCGGCCTCAACTCCCGCCAGCGCCAGCAAATCTCCATCAAGGAGGGGCTGCTGGCGCCGGTGGCGGCCTCGGGTGCGCTTCCATGGTCGTCCGGCCGGGCCTGCGGCACCCCGCGGCCCGGCGGGCGCCGCTGGGGCCGCAGCCGCCGGCACCTGTGCCGCATGCCGCCGGGCGCCGCTTCGCTCGCGTCGGGCCGCTGGCCCGCTGCTGGCACCTGCTGGGTGGTTCTCCAGGCGCCTCGGCCTTCTGGTGGCCAAGTGAAACAACTGTTCAGATCACAGATCTGTATCAAGTGTCTCATCATCGCCCCACCCTTACTTATTCCATCGCGGCCCCGCCCTCCCCTCCTCCTCCTCCCGCCGCAGTCTCCCTCTTTGGCCTCTACCTGCTCCTCAAGTTCCTGCCGGACCTCAACATCCAGTCCCTGCTCAACGCCTACTTCTGGCTGCTGGGCTCGGTGGCGCTGGTGGGCGCGTTTGGGCCCACGCTGCGCACGGCGGTGAGCTGAGCTGGCGCGGCCGCTGAGCTGGCGGAGGAGCTGGGGCACGCTGCGCCTGCCGAGCTGGCGCTTGCAGCGCTGGCGCCTGCCGCGCTGGCGCCTGCCGCGCTGGCGTGTGCTGGCGTGCACTGGTCAGCTACGGCTGCCACGTGGCAGCCGATAGCGGCGGGCCAGGAGCGGCGCTGCTGCCGCGGCGCCCCGCCAGGCCGCCTCGCTTGCAGGCGCTGACATTCCTGGCCCTCCTGCTCGCATGCCTGCAGGGCAAGGGGCTGGGCCAGCCCGTGTGGCGCTTCCAGCTGCCCGCCTGGCTGCATGCGGAGGACGAGCGGGGCAAGATGGTGACGCAGGGGGACCTGGCGCCCACAGGCGCGCTCCGCTGCCCGCGCCGCGCCTCCCCTCCCTGGCGGTGCTGCGGGGCCGCATCCTGCGCAGGCCACCCGCCACCCTCGAGCCTGCAGTGCCCTCCACGTAGCAGCTCTGCCCTCCAGCCTGGCTGCGCACATGGTGGTGCACCTTACCCCCCAGCCTGAACATGCGACCCACCCACGTGCTGCAGACCTGCTGTCCGTTGGCCTGGCCCTCACCTTTGCCACCATGGACGCCGCCGCCAACCACGGCAACTTTACCCTGAACAACATGATCGCCTGCCTGATCGCCGCGGGTGAGGCGGGGCTGTGCGGCCTCTTGGCTGCCCCAAGGGAGGGCCGGGGGTGGTGGTGCAGCAGTAGCCTGCCTGACTGCCGCGGGTGAGCGAGGAGCTGCCTGCCTGTTCGCCGAGGGTGAGCGCACATACAAAGGTGGGGTGGTGTGGGCCAGGTTCTGCGTTGTGAGGGGAAAGGGCAAAGGGGGTTGGCAGGTGAGGGCGGGCTGCGCTGCGCCTGTGTGAGGCAGGGCCGTGATGTGCTGCCCTCCCCTCCCCTCCCCTCCCCCTGCCTGCTCCCCTCAGACATCCTCCAGCTGGTGGGCCTCAAGTCGTTCCGCGTGGCGGCGGTGCTGCTGCTGGGCCTGCTGGCATACGGTGCGGTGCGGTGGGGTGGGCGGGCAGGGCGGGCCAAAGCTAGCGCTGCACATGCTGCCTGCCTAGGTGGCATCAGCGCTCCAGCAGCCACACCACCCATGCCAAGCCACAGCCGCACGTGCATGCATGTGCGGGGCACCTGTGCCATGTCGAGCCTGCCCGCTGACGCTCCCGCCTTGCCCTGCAGACGTGTTCTGGGTGTTTGGCTCGCCGGCGGTGGTGGGGGAGAATGTGATGCTCCAGGTGGCGACCTCAGGTGCTGCCGCCGCTGCTCCTGGTGCTGCCTCCTGCACCCCTGTGCTGGTTGCCATCGCCCTTTCTTCCTCTTGGCTGCTCCTTCCTGCTGTGAGGCGCCCACCCACCGCCTGGCCTTGCCTTGCATTGCCTTGCCCTGCTTAACCTTCCTTGCCCTGCCTTGGCTTGACCTGCCCGTGCCTGCAGAGGTGGTGACGGGGCCCATCCGCTTGCTGTTCCCACGCATACCAGGCTCCATCGGGGAGGCAGCAGACTTCCCCTTCAGCCTGCTGGGTGCGCTGCGCTGTGCTGTGCTGCGCTGTGCTGATTGGCCGGCGCTGTGTTGCCGCTCGCTGCTTTCCTGCCTCGGGCTGGGCAGCTGGCATGGCGCTGCGCTGCGCCGAGGTGGCGGCAGAGGCGCCCGGGGTGGGGCGTCCGCTGGCCTCTCGTGTACGTGGTGGTGGTGCCGCTGGAGTGTGGGGAGGCAGCGCTTTGGAAGGCAGATTGTCACACACACACACACACACACAGTCACACTCACATACACACACGGTCGCTCTCCCCGCTGTCCGCCCATTTCAGGCCTGGGCGACATCGCCATTCCGGGCCTGCTGGCCTGCCTGGCGCTGCGCTACGACGCCTCTCGGGCCGTGGACCTGCGCGCCCGCGGCTTTGCTGTGGCCAACGCCCTCCAAGACGCCCTCAGCTCCGTCGATGTGAGAGGGGGGCGGCCCATGCGTGCCACGCACGCTGCCGCCGGGGCATGGAATGTCCGGGGCCTGGCGCAGCGCCGCGTTGCGCCGCGCTGCGCTGTGCTCCGCTGTGCTGCGTGCATGCTGCGTTGCGTGGATGCCGTGCCGCGGCAATCGCCGGCGGCCAGCCCGGAATGCAGCCGTTTGTTGCGGCTCCGCCGCGAGCCTTCTGACGACGCCTGCCTGCTGCTCCTGGGGTACCTCGCCCGCTGGCTTTCCTGCGTGCTGGGTCGGTGCAGAAGACGGCCACGCGGGGGGAGATGGGGGAGGTGGCGGTGAGCGCGGCAGAGACGGCGTACGACAAGATCGCCGACATGGTGGGCTGGCGCTGCTGCTGGTGGCTGCTGCCGCCGCCTGCTGCCGCCTGCTGTGCGCTGTCGCCTGCGGGCTGTCGCCCCCTGTGCGCTGCCGGCACAGCTGCGGGCTTGGGCTGCTGCGGGCTGCTGTGCGCTGCCGGCAGCCGGCTGTGGGGTGTGTGTTGGGCAGCCGCCGGGCCTGCTGCTGGTGGCGCCAGGCCGGAGTTCCCGGTGATTCCCTGGTGCGCACGCTGGCCTGCCCTGCCTGTCGGCAGCCCACCTCCCCACTCCAAGCCCGACCCCCTGCACTGCCCGCCTCCCTCCACCGCCGGCGCAGGAGGAGGAGCAGCAGCTGCGCACGCAGGGCCTGAGCGCCAGCGGCAGCACCGAGACCTTCTACTTTGCCTCCGACGCGGTGCTGCACCAGCGCACCTACTTCACTCCCGTGCTGGTGGCATACCTGTTGGGCCTGGTGGCGGCCTTTGGGGTGAGCCCCGGCCCCTGGCGTGGCCAGCCCGGCGCCGCCGCCGCCGCCGCCGCCGCCGCTGCTGCGGCAGCATCAGGTTCGCGGTTGGGAGGGAGGCTCCTTGCAAGCTTCCGGTTGCAAGGAGCGTCATGCTGCCGCCTCTACGCTGGTTATAACACAAGCACATGGAGCAGTCGATGCCGCAGTCTTGGGATCGGGCATGCGATCCCTCAGCCTTCCGACTCATTTTTTCCTTCACCGCCGCCGTCGCCGCCGCCTGCAGGTGAATGCGGTGACACACATGGGGCAGCCCGCCCTCCTCTACCTGTGCCCGCTCACGCTGGGGGCGGTGGTGCTGGTGGCGGCCACGCGGCGGGACCTGGCCAAGATCTGGTCCTTCACAGACACCTCTGCATCCAGCCCCGGCGCCAAGAAGCAGCAGCAGCAGCGGGAGGAGGAGGAGCAGCAGGAGCAGCAGCAGCAGCAGGAAGGCCCGGGCAAGTAGGCTCGCCGCCGCTGCGCCTGTCTTGCTGGGATCTTCCTGACCCTCCCCAAGGCCATAGACCATTTGTGTATCGCCTCACTCTGTACCCCTTCCCTCCCCCATGCACCTCTCTATTTACCAAGCCTTTGTTACACTGTTGTAAGCAATTACGAGCAAGCCGTCGGAAAGCTGAGTCGTGAAGCGGCAAAAGGAGCGACGTGCTTAATTTACAGACCCAAAAGCGGGAGCGGCAGGTAGGCAGGGAGAGGAGGCCAGGGGGTCGGTGCACGGCATCGCGGCAGAGGACAGGTGGCAGTACTGGCAGAGCACGTTCATTCAAGTCCTTCGTTTCCTTTGCCGCAAGGCTCAGCGCAGCTGGCGCGCCAGCTGCGAAGCCTCCCGCGCCCAGCCGGCGCAGCTGCCGTCCAGCACGCCGCCGTCGAACTCGGGCAAGCAGCTGGCGGCGCCCGGCGCGTCCAGGCTGTCTCCCGTCTCGCGGAAGCGGCGCCAGCCTGGCGCCAGCGACACCACCTGGCCAATGACGATGAGGGTGGGCGAGGCGAGGGCGGCCGCCGCCACGCGCGCCTGCAGCTGGCCCAGCGGCGCGTACACGGCTCGCTGCTCGGGTGTGGTCCCCCTCTCCACCGCCACGGCAGGGGTACCCAGGTCGAGGCCGCTGGCCTGCAGCTGCGCGGTGAGGCTGGGCAGGGTGCCGAGGCCCATGTATACCACGAGGGTGGTGTGCGGGTCGGCGGCGGCGGCCACGGTGGCGCCCAGCTCGCCCTCCCCGCCCTCCCGAGAGTGGCCTGTCAGGAAGCGCACGCTGGTGGCCAGGCCGCGGTGGGTGAGCGGGATGCCCAGCTCGGCTGCAGGGCAGGAGGAGGTACGAGGTAAGCGGGAGAGGTAGGTGGGAGAGGCAAGCGGGAGAGGCAAATGGGAGATAGCGTGGGAAGAGGTACGGGGGCAGGTATGGGCAGGCGGGGGAGCGCTGACAGCGCGCAAGGAGCGGGCCGGCGGAAGAAAATCCCAGCAGCCAGCCCAGTACGCAGCTTGCACACGAGCAGCGCCGGCCGCCACGCCCTCCCCGCTGCCGCCACCGCCCGCCACCCAGGCAGCAGGAGGAGCAGCGCAGTCGAGCCAGCAGCCTGAGGCCCAGCCGCCTCCCCCAAGCCCCGCACACACCTGAGATGCCCGAGGCGGCGGTGATGCCCGGTACCGCCCGTACTGTCACGCCGCGCTGCTCCAGGTACTGCACCTCCTCGCCGCCCCGCCCAAACACGTATGGGTCACCTCCCTTGAGCCTGCGGGCGGCAGGGGGCAGCAGGGGCAGCGGGCAGCGGTGCTGAAACGTGGGCTGGGTGGGCGGGCGGGCGCGAGAGGCGGCGACGGTGTGGGGCCGAGCCGGGCGCGGCAACTGAAAGGAGCCCGGGCGGCGCCCCACCTGCCCTCCCCCCCCAGCCTCCTTGTCGGCCGGCGGCGACGCCCACGCCCTCCCCACGGCACACCAGCCCCCGGCCTCCCGCCCCGCCCTCCCTCCCGCGCCCGCAGCCCCAGCACCCCCCCCTAGCGGCCGCCTCACCTCAGCACGCTGGCCCCCTGCCCCGCAAACAGGCCCAGCAGTTCGTGAATCTCCTCCTGGCTGCGCGTGTGGAAGCCGCGCTGCTTGCCCACGTACACCAGCAGGGCGCCCGGGTGCACCATGCCCAGGATGTCCTCTGCGGGGGGCGGCAGCGGGGCGGGGTGGGTGCGGGTGCGTGGCTCGGAGGCACGAGCGGCGCTGCTGGCGAGGCGTTGAGCCTCCGATGCGACGGCAGCCCTCCAGCACGAGCAGAACCCCCTCGCCCCACCTGACACGAGTCGGTCGTACAGCACAACGTCGGCGGTCTGCATGAGGCGTACCGCCTTCAGGGTGAGCAGGCTGGGGTCACCTGGGCCGGTGCCCACCAGCCACACCACGCCCGGCCGCTGCTGCTGCTCCTGCTGCTGCTCCTGCTCCTGCTGCTGCTGCAGGGGAGGGCCTTGCTGGACGGCCTGCGCCTGCTGCTCCTGCTGGGTGCCGGCGGGGTCTGCGGGAGGGCGGCGGGGGGCGGCAAAGGGGGAGGGGTGAGGGGGCAGCGGCAAGCCAGGGAGGGTCCTTTGTGGGGGGCAGGCCCACCGGGGCCACC